CAAGCTCCTTCATTCACATCCTGGCCTTGGAGGGGTCTCACCAACCTCCCTGAACTCTCTGTCTGCACTTGCAGAACAGGTCCAGCAAAGTGAGCAGGTGGTGCCCAGTTCTACAGCTAAAAGAGCCGAGTGAGTAGCGAAGCCCACTTCCAGCCCGGTTTCCAATGCACGACAGGTATCGCCTTTGGGAGTCTTGCAAAGCCCCACCAGCACCCCCATTTGACCCTCGTAGTCACTCTGTAATATAGGCAGAGAAGGTCTCGTGATTCCCATTTACCGAGGGAGAAGCAGAGTCAAGAGACAATCCCCCGCATCCACGTTCTTCGCCCCCAGGGGAGCCCGCTGGCTGCCCCACCCTTTCAGGGTGTGCGTCTTCCTCTCTCGTGGCAGGTGGTGCCACCCTCCCTGGGAGGAAACTCATCAGCAGAGAAGCCACATCCTCAACCTCGTTTCTAGCCTTTGGTACCTATTTAATGTTCTGGCCTCTTTCTGCTTACTTATGTGTATTTTCTTCTAACATGAGCACTTTAAAAAAATCTTCACCCAAGGATATGTTTATTGATTTTAGAATAAGAGGAAGGGAGAGAGAGAGAGAGAGAGAGAAACACTGACTGGTTGCCTCATGAGCACCCTGACCAGGGATCAAACCCGCAACCTAAGTATGGGGACCAAACCTGCAACCTTTTGGTGCAAGGGATGATGCTGCGACCGAGCCACCTGGCCAGGCAGCCCTGGGGCTGTGACACGAGCACTTTCATAGTCTGTGCATGTGCACGTGTGTATATTTGCTTATTCCTTAAAAGAATGATATGGCTTTAAAAGTGGCAAATGTCCAAAGGAAACCGTCTTGGTCTGCTGGAAGCAGGGTTTGGAGAGGGAACAAGCAGTCCCAGTTGTCAAGAGCCTTGGGCACAGGGGCACAGAGTCAGCAGGACACATGGATCCAGGACTTGACCTTCTTGCGGACAGGGCACTCCCACCCCCCACACACAACGGCACCAGCTCCAGTCACAGCCATTCTCCACCATGCCAACTCTGTTCCAATGACAGAAAGAGCCTCCTTGCAGAATTCCTACGAAGCTTCCTATGCCAGCTCTACGGCATTGCTAGGAAGCACAGAGGGAAGAATAACTATGTCCGATTTTGTTGCAAAGTTCCACTTAACCTCTTCTTGCATCCCAGAGACTAAAAAATAAAATAAAACAAAAGCTTTCAAAGGCAACGGAACAGTATCAGTGCTGGGGGAAAGTGAACCCTGCACTCACAAAGCAGGTGCTGCAGCCCCAGGAAGTGACATGGCCACTCCCCATAGCCCTGCTTCCTCTGGGCCTCGGCCCCACCTGCAGACCATGGACAGATGCGTCACCTGCACTCAACATCTACCCACTGTGCTCTCCGGATGGCTGTGCCAGGGGCGGGGCCACCGTGTGCAGAAGGGGCGAGTGAGCGAACACAGGCACGAGTGCACTGACGGGCTCTGCGGAGTGTGCCGCCCCCTTGTGGAGATGCCTGGAAACTCGCACAGCCCGAGCGGATGGCCGGAGGCTCCAACGCATTCATCCGGTGGGTGCCCTGACCAGCCCAGCAGCTGGACACTGGTGGAAAGGTGAAAATACTCAAGGTCTCCCTCCACATGAGCCTCCACGGCCTGATCTCCCGTTCTGCCATCACTGGAATTACTTGTGATTCCCAGTGTTTTATTCTGTTTATTAGATACAGTGACCCTGGGGAACCCAGGCAAAGCACAGGTGAGTGGCAAGAGCCCTGGGGAGAGTCGGCTTTCTCGCCTGTGAGAAGGGACTGATGGTACTAAACCTGGTCCTGCATACCACCTGGGGCCGAGTTCCTGCTGAGGCAGGGGATCCCAGTGGTTACAACAGGGGCGCCAGAGCCAGGCAGAGCTGGGCTCAAATCCCAGGTCTGCCAATCAAATCATCATCATCATCATCATCATCGTGGGTGGGGGGGCAGGGTAAGTTACTTAAACTCAGTGCCCAGTCCTCTCTTCTGGAAAACAAGGATCACAAAGGTACTTGCCTTGGGGTTAAGAGGCTTACACCACACAGTGCCTGTAAAGTAGGGAACGTGCAGTACCCGGCTCCTGGCGCACACACTCACGGTTAGACACACACCGAGTCCCGTTATTCGTGGATTTTGAAACACTTCGTGAGCTCGTGTGCAGTGGGTGTGGTGTGTTGCCGAGGCAGCGCTGTTCTCCACCTCCCCCGACACGGCAGGAAGGAGGGATGCAAAACAGGCGATGTGTGTCCTGAGCACATGGACACGAAACCACCTGACAGCTAAGTCACAAGATCATAACGAACCACAGAAAAGCAGAAGCGGACACTCAGGTGGTGGAGGGCACGGAAGCCCACCCCAGTAGCTCCAGGGGAGACAGCGTGGGTGGGGGCATCCCAAGAGACTCGGAAAGAGCCCGAGGTGTCTCAGCCCGATGCCAAAAATGTTTAAACTGTGAAATCCTGGGAGAGAGACATCACAAGCCAGGCGGGTAAGGACCCTGACTGATCCACGGGACCCAGTCCCTTTGGAATGTGGCCTGGATGAGCCAGGCGAGGATCGGACTCCCGGCTGTGACCGCCTGGCCAAGCACCTCCCGCCCTGGGGGGGGGGTATTGGGCCCGCCCTTTAGTCCTTGGGCATTTTTCTTTCAACGCCCCCCCACTCAGAAAACGTCTGAATGCGTGTCTAGACAGACAGGTCAGGTGCCACGTTGCACTCCTCTGCTAACAGTGAGTACTCCTCTGCGTACTCACGTTCAGCTGCAAAGAAGCCAGGATCTTTAAGGAATACTGTCCCCAAACAGGAAAGGCTGTCAAGCTTGCACAGTCCCTCCACTGGCTGACAGTCACTGGTGGGCGGGCACATGAATTTATTTGAATTTTCTTTACATTTTCCAAACTTTCCACAGTAAGTATGTACTGCTTTTAAGAACAGAAAATACAGATTACCAGAGGCCCAGGAGATCACGCGCTTGACAAAGGCTTTGCGGGTGCTGCTCGCACACTCAACTATTTGTATCGGGAGCTTTGGGAGCCTGGCCCCGCTAGCGTCCGTGCTCAGGGAGCTCCCAGGGGCTGCGGGGCAGGGCCCCAGGCTGTGCCCTTCAGTGTGTGTGTGCCGTGGGCCATGAGGCGGGCCGTGCCGAGGGCTGGGGCGGGCTGGGCTGTGGCGGCTGTGCTTGTAAAACGTAGCCCTTTTAGCGTGGGCAGAAGCACTCATTCCCACTTGCCTAATTTAAGAGCGAGACCTTGTCCCCTGGGGATTTACATAGTTAGAGAAATTGTCTGAAAGAGAGAGCAACTAGAGTAGAGGAAGAATGAGGAATGCAAAACAGAGAAATGGCCCAGACCAGCCACAAAGACAAATGTCCGAATGGTTCAAGGTCACTGTCCGATCTCTACCTTAATGGAGGGTGGACGACAAAAATCGCCCTTGTTTCCAACGAGCTAACGTCGCCCCCACCTGTGATCTCCCGAGGCCCGCCCGGACGGGCTCACTGGACTAACCATCCCCTCTCATCCCGGAGCCTCCCCATCCGGCCGGTTGTTTGCCATGCGGTCTCAGGTCACTGCCTGAACGGCTGGCTCCCGGCTGCCCAGCCATGTGCCTTGGGCAGATGCACCCACGAGACAAACAACACTGAGCAACAGGGGGATACGCGGGCCCCCATGGCCCTTAGTCTGGTGTGGAGCTCCTCACTCAAAACCGGGCTCACGATGACCAGCTGTGTTCCCAGATCGAGGGATAAAGGAAAACAAAGGCTGCCCAAGTGCTGCACCTCAAAGCTCGTGCAAGCCCGGTGGCGAGGCGGCCCCTCCAGCTCACTGGCTACGAGCAAACAGTGGAAACTGGGTGTGAAAGTGGAGTCTACTCCGGGCGCCCCAGGGAAGCAGCCGTAATCTCTGGTGTGTGTGTGTGGGGGGGGTAGTTCCACACAGCAGGTGGCATCTGCGTGGGATTCTGACACACGGAGACCGGGCCAGAGAAAACCCCAGGCAGAAAGGCCCAGAGGCTGGGCACAGGGTACAGACCACAGCCAAGGTGGACACCTGGGTCAGGGCGGGCAGGCATCGAGGCTGGGGCAGGTGTGGAAGGTCCGGAACCTCTCACTAAGGAATCTGGACTTTATCCACAGATCAATGATGCTGAGTCTTTCCGACTTCAGGGCCCACTATGAGTTCACTAAATTTGGGGGACCTACTTAGGATGGGTACTGGATTATTTTGCCAAATAAGGCCATTAAAACCAAAACAGAAAGCACCAACTGCCACATATTGTTATCACTTCATAAAAGGGCATTTTAACACCTAAAAGTAGAACCCAGACCCAGACAGAAGGACAGCCTCCTGCTGACACCCTCCCGCCGAGAGCGCCTGTGCCCCATGCCACCCTGGTCCCCATTTTCTGACCCAGGGACACTTCCTGGTAAACAAGGCTGGAGGCTACAGCTGTGGGACCGAGGGGCAGCACAGCTCAGACCTGAGGCTTCCCCAGTTTGTGGTACCCAAGATGTGACACAATTTGTTCACAGATCCGAAAACCAAAACGAGGTAAAGTTTATGAAAGCACCGGCTTGCCTGACCCCAAGCGTGACCCTAATGGTACCATTGGGTGCCGCTGGAGCTACTGGGGGTCCCTGGGGGTGGGGAACGCTTCCATGGCCACGTGCGTTTGGGAAACACCGAGTCCCTCTCAAAGTTTATTATTCATGCATTTATTTCTGTAAACGAATGTGCAAGTGACCCCCGAGGTCGCGTGGCGCCACGCAGCGTCCCCCTGACTAATCTGACCGAGGAAAGCCCTCCTCAGCACTGGCAGCGCGGGAAACTCCTCAGGTGGGCGTCAGCAGAGGCTTGCTCAGCATTTAGCAGGTGTGAGGTGAGCGTGGGTGGATTTGCACCGCAGCGCACGCACCCAGGAGGCACTGGCAGGGGTGAGGAAGGACGCCCATGCCCCCGCGGGCAGGCAACAGCGTGTACCTCAAGGTCGGAGTTGATGGAAGGGACCTCGGAGGAGCTGCTGGAGGACACGCGGGCCCGGATGACTCGAACGGGAGGGTACGAGGGGGGTTCCTGCAGGGACGCAGCTTCCAAGCACATCTGTCCATCCCCCGGCAGCCTGGTGGCGCTGCAGCCTGTCTGCAAGGTATTGTGGGAAGGGGGGACATTAATGGACTTCTTTATTTTTGATCCGTCAAAGCCCTCACGTACTCCAGTATTCAAAAGGCAGAAAAGAGTGTGGAGTGCAATGCCTCTCTCCCCAGCCATCCCGGGGGGCCTCGGTTCCTGTGCACCCTTCCTGCCAGGCAGCCTTGCACATGCAGTCAAGTGCAGACATGTCATTCTCTAACACATGGTGCTGTGCTCAACACTCATGCATCTTCCTCTTTTCTTCTCACTTAGTGTGTCTCAGAGAGTACTTTTTTCCAGACTTTTTTTTGGTAGCATTGTATAGGTGTGCGCAATCTACTTACCTAGCCCCCTACTGATGGACTTGAAGGTATTTCCAGTCTTGCTTTTACAATCACCACTGACTGCAGTAAATTACATCGTGCACCCAAAACTTCAGGGTATTTATAAATGGTGAATTCCTAGAAGTAGAACTGCTGGCTCAGAGGGTATGTGCCTCTGTAATGCAGACAGCTGTCGCCGACAATGTGCTCCAGAGAGGCCTCACCAACTCACACCCACCAGGAGCAGAAAGTTAGCTGACAAGGTTTAAGGGAGCTTCTACCTCTATCTACCGATCATCCATCTATGTTTTATCTATGACCTGTCAGCTGTCTATTAATCTACCACCTATCTTTCTATCACTTATCAGCTATCTTTATTTTCTTTGTATCTATCATCTTTTTTATCTGTATTCTATCTGTCATCTGCCTCTTAATACCCATTATCTATTTATCTATCTATCTATCTGTCTGTCTATCTATCTATCTTTTGGAAGACAGGGCCCACGAGAGTTGGGGAAGTGTTTCCCCAAACATACTGGAAGCGGTGAGGGCTAAGGTTTCAGAGCCAGGCAGTCATTCCACTGATACAGTGCAGGGGAAAAAAACTGCCTTCTGGACCCACGCCCTTGACCAATTAACCATGTGACCTTGGCAAGAAATTAATCCTCCTCAAGTCACCAGTTCCTAATCTACAAGAGGGGCTAGTAATCCCTGTGGTGCCTCCTTTGAAGCAGTGTTACAGGGCTCAGGCGTACACATCCTGGATGCATAAGAATGCCCACTCATACTGGGCCCCGGCGTGAGCCTGACTGCAGGGTGACTGGCGGACGACTCCTGAGTGACTGCAGATCCTTGTGAGAGTCCCCTGGACAAGAGACAAAGTCCCCAAAGGAGACAGAGGCAGTGTTCCGGGTGGCCCCTGGGCGGGGTGTGCAAAGTGGGGGGAGCAAAAGCCTCCCAGGCAACAACGGATTCTATAGAAACCTCCAGGCCTGACCACACTTGAGTCAACAGGGAACCGGAGTTTTCAATCGCTCTAATCCTTTGTTCCCAGTGCCCCACAGCCCTGGGCCCCCAGCTCAGCCTGAACCCAGCTGTGTCTCTTGGAAAATCCCTCCTGAGGACTAGTGTTCTGGAGGGGACTCTGGGAAGCCGCCTGTGCTCTGGCTGCCCACTTCCAGGGCTGTCCGAACAGAACACGGATCAACACATGTGGCAGCAGGGCACCCCCTCACCACCACCCTGCCCGTCGGGAGAGTCCCCCCTAAAATTGCTAACGGCACTGAGAGTATGTTCTCTCCGTAAAAGCTCAGGTCCTAGAACAGACAGGCTTAGTTTAAAACCTGTATGTGTGATTTCCTAACTACAGGATTTGGGCAAGTGACTCAGTCCTCTCTGTGTCTCAATTTAAAATAATAATAAAATTATTACTAATAAATAATAACAATAGAAATAATAGTATCCATCTCCTAGGTTATTAGGAAAATGTGTGTTAATGGTCATTTAAAAAACTGATCATTTCTCAAGTGCTTACTTGGTGTCGGCCATTACATCAAGGGCACAGACTCAGGTAGAGACAAATCTGAATCCTGGTTCCGGCACTGACAAACTGTGTGACCTTGAGCAAGTTGCTGAACCTCTCTGTGCCCTATTTTCCTCATCTGTAAAAACAAGGGCGATACCTCAGGGGCTGGCTGGGAGGATTAAATGAGTTAATCTATGCAAAGCACTCGGACCAGCGCTCTGAGCCCTATGACCAATACAGTCAGAATCATGGAGCCACTGGCTGTTACTGTTCACTCAGAGCCTGGCAAGAATTCAGCCCTACAGCCCAGGGAAGTGGCTTCCTGCCCAGAGCAGCTGGGCTCAGAGTCCCTGCAGGGAGCTATCTCAGACACCTGTCGCCCTCTGGTGGACACAGAGAGAAGAGGCTGAGTGCAAGTATTTGCTCAAAAATGTACTAGGTCGCAGTGGGCAAACACAAGGCCTGTGGGCCAAACCCGGCCCTCCACCTTGTTTTATCCAGCCTGGCACCTTGTTTCCACCGGGCAGCAGTGCTGAGCCCTCGCTTCACTGTTAAGGAGTAGTTACATTTACACAGTCCTAAAATCACATTCGGCCCTTCGAAGGCAACTGTGAGGCCGATGTGGCCCCCGGTGAAGATGAGTTTGACACCCCTGCACTAGCTGGTCTCAGTGGGAGAGAGCCCAGGAGGAACACATTCTCCTCTCAAGAAGCCTGTTCCCCAGCAGGAATCTACTCAAGACTCAGGTTCCGCAAGGGTTACAGTAAATGCATTTTTGCACTAGTATTTTTCAGAAGTTCCATAATGTTAAAATGTCTTGTGCCAAGATTTGGCCAGAGGCTGCCAGGGCCCCCTGTCACCCACCCTCCCACCCTCCCAGGGGAGGAAGCATTTAACAGCTGAAGTGGCCTCTTAATTGAGCAAGTAAGTGGCCTCTTAACCTCACTTATAGTGCCTACGGGTTATTCGCACCCACTTTCCACGGAAGAACAACAGAGTTAAACTCTGTCTTAGCCCAAATCCTCTGATTGTCAGGATGGCCTGTGGGCAGCACGGTGGGGCCAGCGACCCCTGAACTCCGTGCCCCACACACCCCTCTCCAGAGACCCTGTGGCGCACACACCAGGGGCGAGGCAAACAACACAGAAGGAGACAAAGCTTATAGCCCAGCAGGGAACGGACAACAAACAAAAGTCCAAGATTGCGGGAAGTGTGCTTTGCAGAGCATTTAAAATACAGGAGGGTGACGGACATGGAGACTGCCTTCGAATGAGTAGCCAGGGAAGGCCTTTGGAGAAAGCGACATTTGGATTGAAGACTGAAAGACAAGAAAAGGCAGCTGCGTGAAAAATAAAATGAGAAGGAAGCGCATCCAGGCAGAGGGAAGAAGAGAAATCCTGTGGTCAAGAGAAGACTGAAGAGGGACGAGAGCAGCAGGCAGCCAGGGAGGGGCCAGGGCCGGCGGGGACCGGGAAGTCCACATGACGGGTGCAGGTTTCAGTCTTCATGCAGTGGGAATCGGGGGAATTTCAATTATTAGTCAATTTATTATTTTTCATATTTTATTTAGTTTTAGAGAGAGGGGTAGGGAAGGATGAAGAGGGGGAGAGAAACACAGGACCTGGCCCATGACACAGGCATGTGCCCTGACTGGGGATAGAACCGGCAATAGAACCAGGGACTTTTCACTTTGTGGGAGGATGACCAGCCAACTGAGCCGCACGGGTCAGGGCTCCAGAGGACATTTTAATTGAAGGAGTCACAAGATGTAATTTACATTTGTAAGAGACCCTTGCAGATGGAGGGGATGGGACAAAAAAAGCAGTGGAGGGTGAACCATCTATTTAAAAAGTGGTGCAAGGCACCTATTTATAGATTCGAGAATGGATTGGACAGGTGTGGACATGTAGTGAGGTGAAGAGAGGAATTTGGGGTTTGATCACCTGCACGGACAGTGGCGTCCTTCACTGAGACCAGGAACAGGGGGAGAGGTCTGGATGGAAATCCAGAATTCTGTATTGGCCGTGGTAAGTGAGAGACGCCACGTGGTGTCTCTGAACAGGCAGTCGGCAGCCAAAGCTGCAGTGGGGGTGTAACAGTGGGAAATCGTTAACACTGGGAAATCGTAACCATTCTTTTGACATCGTTTCTGTAAGTGCTGACTCTGGCTAATATGTAGCTTGTAGATAAACAGCATGCTTATATGAAAATCCTAGGAATTAACTTCAAAAGATAGGGACTCCAACCTTTAGTCATCCCAGCTCCGGGAGATTTGCTGACCTTCACCCAAGGACCCAGGATGACGTGAGGCTGAGATGATGTGAAGCCAGGATGACTAAGCCAGGATGCTGCACCCGGACCGTCACTTGCCTTATCGGAATGGACTGTGTTCACCTGCATGTGGAGAACTTTGGAACCCCCTCCCTTGGTCTCTCTGTTCTGTTCTCCCCTCCCTCCTTATTAAAGCCTCTGCCTCCACTGAGAGGTGGAGGTGGGCTTTGAGACATGAGTCCCCATCTTCCAGGTGGCCAGCACCTAAAAACAAACCTATACATCAGCACCTGCCTCTCAAGTATTGGCTTTCCTAGTGGCGGGCAGCTGGACCAGCTTTTGGTTACGGAGGGAGAGGGAAAGCGTGGAGAGGTGCACGGGGAGACTGGCCAGGGCTGGTGTGTGAGCCGTGGTGCCGTGGGGCTGGCAGAGGGTGAAAAGGGGAGAAGGAGCTGCAGCCTCCAAGGCCAGCTCACCAGGAGGAGGCAGAAGTGACGGGGAGAGAACACCTGTGACGGTGTCGGCTGGAAGAGTGAGGGCCCCAGAAATCACAAGGAGCTAGTGGCAAAGTAAGTTAAATCTCTCACAAGGACCCGGATTTAGCAACTCGGGAGTCACCAGTAACCTCGACAGGAACAGTCTTAGTAGGGTAGTGGGACCTGCCCTGTCCTCTCCTCTCCTCCCTCTGTTCTCTCCCCGCCCCAGGACCCCGCGCGCAGGCCGGAACCCGGGAGCCCTCCGTCCCCCTCACCCCCCATCCTCGCTCCCCGCAGTGCTCCACCTGCCGCCTCTCCCCACCCCATCGCCGTTTGTCCCCCTGCTCCCGCCCTGGTTCCGGCGTCGCCGCACCTCTCCTGGGCTCACCACTGTCCCGCACTGATTCCAGCCTCCTCTCCCCTGGTCTCTCCTCCAGCACTGCCCACGGGATGGCTCTACGATGCACGCCTGACCTTGAGTCTCTAGTCCTGAGGCCTCTGAGGCTCCCATCCCCTCAGGACGATGTCTTCTGGAGTGTGCTGGAATCAATCATCCTTGCCTCCTCTCCACCCTCCCAAAGTCCCCCCATTTGTCCCCTACTGAGATCTTAGAGAGCTCTTCCCTTTTTCTTTTCCCCGCTTTTATTAGTTTTTAAAATCTTTCTCTTGTTTTTCCCTTTCTCTTTTTCATGCATCCCTGCCTCATCCTGCCCATCCTGTAGCTAAGTGTTACCTCCTCCAGGAAGCCTTCCATGACCACTGCCCACCCTCTGGGCACCTGGCTGTGGCCCACAGCCACTCACCTGCTGCACCCGCTCAATGGTCAGCTCCATGTAGCGACTGATGGCTGCCGTTGCCCCAAGTGACTTGCAGTGCGGTAGTGTTGTGAGAGGCACCCAATCCAAATTCTTTCCAGCAGAGTTGGGGAGACAGACAGGGGGATTCTTAAGTCAGGAGACATTTTCTAAAAACAAGGTCCCATTTTCTTCCAAACAAAATCCCTAAAGTGGTTTCTGTTTCTTTTATGGCATATGTCACTTTCTGCTGCCTATAATCTGTACCTTATCTCTTTGTCACACCAGCTCAGTGGTTCCCAAACTTTATACAGTAGCATCACCTGGGCATCCCCTTGACAAGCCAAACAACTGCTGTCCACCTCTCAGCCCCGTCCCCCCGGATTCTCTGGTTCCCTGGGCATGGACATGGCTGGACAGTTGAAAAGCCTCACAGGTGATGCTGAAGTTCGGGGACCACCACAGTCGCTGCTCAGTAAATGGCTTTGTAAAGCGGTGGTTCCCAAACCGCAGTGTGCGTCAGAAGCACCCAGTGGGCCGATTTACTACAACACCCTGAGTTTAGGATTTGGGGGGCCGGGTGGGGCCCCAGAATCTCCACTTCCAGCAATGGGAGCCCAAGGACCCCACTCTGAGCACCGCTGCTGAAGGGACCACAAAGCCCCACGTCCCCCCACAGAACAACCAGACACACGGCTTTCTTTGCGTATTCTAGCTCCCTTCTGGGATGTAATGTCTCAGCATTCGTTCTCGAGAGCGGCATGAATACCACCTCCCGCGAGAGCTTCTCGGAACTCGGCTCTCCCCTCCCAGCACCTGTGTAGCCCGCCCCCTCGCTTTGGCCACACCCTTCTAGTTCCTGACCTCAGTCGGATTACATGTTAAGTTTGGTGATACATACATTTAAGTACATATGAGTAAGTAGGTCACTGAATAGCATGAGTGGACATTTGACTATTTCATCTACGTTGCTAAAAATCCACTGAAGTTTATTAAGCGTTCAAAAAACTTCAAAAGATGTTGTCAATGGGAAGTGGAGGAGCCTATTTATTCAGGGCCCCTCGGTGCTGGGCACGAAGAGTAGTTTTTTAGAGGGACCAAAGGGCCAGGCTCAGAGGGACCCCGCACCCCAGGCCCACCTCCGCGCCCTCCATGCGCCAACACTGGTGGGACCGCGCTTTTCCAGCCCAGGAGACCTTGCCTGGTTTCTTGCCTCCTCGTTGTCTTCCTCTTTCTCCGCACAGGTCAGAAGGGCTTGGGTGTCCGGGCTCTCTCTGGCTTCAGAGGCAAACCCCAAGGCCCTTCTCATCTTGCTTTTCATCACCCAGGACAGGAAAATGATCTGGGACGTGCAGTTAAGGTCCAAGGACGCGGAGTTCCAGCCACCCGATGCCACCTTCACCTCTGCAGCCAAGGGCCCCACCCTGAGCTCTCGCTCCCTGCCTCGGGGCGCTCACCTGAGGACAGGGCCAGGTGTCTCTACTCTCCCCCTCAAGGGCCTGGTGCCTGGTGCGACCCTGCCCCTCCCAAGCACTCAGGAAATCTTGTTAAACAAAAGCATTGTGAAACCGCCTTCCTCGGAGAACTTGGCTTGCAGGGACCATACCCGTAGTGGGTTGAGTAGTGTCCCCTCAGAGTTCATGTCCATCTGGAACCCCAGAACGTGACCTCATTTGGATATAGGGCCTTTGCTGAGGTGATTAGTTAAGATGGGGTCATACTGGATGGATTAGGGTGGACCCAATCCCCTGACAGGAGCCCCGACAGGAAGACAGGACACACAGAGGCATGCGGAAGGAAGAATGCTGTGTGGAGACAAAGGCAGAGGGGGACCATGCTGCCACCAGCCGAGGGACCCCAGGAGCCGAGGGACCCCAGGAGCCGGAGAGGAGAGAGTGTCCCAAGAATCTACGGACAGAGTGCGCCCTGCCCGGGGTTGGGGCTTCTAGCCTCGAGCTGAGAGAATAAATTTCTGTTAAGTTGTCAGGTATGTAGCAATTTGTCACGGCAGCCCTAACACACTTTTTAAATTGAATTTATTGGGGTGACATTGGTTAATAAAAGTACAAAAGTACGTGGTCTAGAACACGTCATTGGTGCAACACACGTTGTGTTGTGTGCTCACCACCCCACGACATCAGGTCTCCTTCCACCACCATTTGTGCCCCTATTCCCTCTCCTGCCTCCCCCACCCCATCCCCCACCCACTTAGCAAGAGAACATATGTTTCTGAACTACTAATGCTAAATCCACAAGTTTTTCACACGCACCCCCACCCCCATCTCCAGCTACCGCTGTCTGCACTCAGCTGCCTTCGAGGTCCTTGTGCCAAGGTCACTGCTGTGTCAGCGCTTTGTGCACCCCCAGGGGAGCCAAGAAGGTGCTCACTATCACCGACGAAGGGCGGCCTCGTCCACTCTCACCTCGGCTGCGCCAGCCTAGGCTCCAGGACCACAGAGGACCCAGGGAACGATTACCCTGCACAGCAGGTCAGCTTGCAAAGCCTGCCCCTAGCCGGTGGGAAGGCAAGGCCCAGATGAGGAAGACAGACAGGCCCACAGAGGGCAGGGACCAACCTAGGTTGGGCGCAAAGCTGGGACTGGACCCCGGCTCTCCTGGCCCCGGGGCCAGAAACGGGTACAGACCCCTTTGCTGTTTCACTGAGTTCCAGCTAGGGAGAATTATTCTTATTTCTTTAAAAAGAAAACAAAACGCATTATCGCACATTGCAGTTATGTCTCCCTGTGCTAGGCTTGAAACCACCTCCCTGGCCACTGGAGAGAATTCCCTCTGGCAAGGGGAAGGAGGGCATGACAGGGGCGGGAGGAAGGAGGCAGGCAGGCGAGCGCCTCTGGGCCTGGGCAGATACGGCGAGGTCCAGCGCAGCTCGGCCGAGGGAGGTCAGGAACCAGGGTGTGGCCCGCAGCAGGTACTCAGGCTTCCGGTCGTGGGCCACAATGGCTGAAGCATACAGGAGGCCAGCAAGGGCCGACAGGAGCCGGGCCCACAGGTGGATGGAGGAAAACGTCTTACCCTGGCACTGGGCACAGAGAGGAGACAGCTGGGCAGGGAGGACCACTGCTGCGGCCCCAGCTGCTAAGGGCTCAGGCCCTGGTGGCACAGCAGATTGGAGGGCAAACCCTCTGCCCCTGACTAGTCCCCCAGGGAGCACTTATCTTGCAACCAAGGGGCCACTATGCTTGAATGCCTCTAGTGATGGGAAGCCCACTACTTCCAAATGTAGGAATGACAATATACTGGTTGCTCTCAATACGCCAGGCGCTGTGCTAGGTGTCTAACCCTTGAGTGGGAAGTGGCCTTCCCGTAACCTCTCCCCAGTGCTTTTCTCCAAGACTGGAGAGGACAAGGCTGCTCTTCCTGCCCCAAGACAGCCCTTCTGATTTCTACACCCATGCACTCAGCGAGCAGTGTTTGCTGGTGCCTGCGGGCCCCACGCACTGGAATGCAGCGGGGAACACAACAGACAAGCCCGCTGCTCTCACGGGGCTGATGTTCTCCTATCTCGTTCCCAAGCTAACGACCCGGTAAAGAACTGAAGGAGCAAGTTTCAGGGTGTGACGGACGAATGCTGTGGAGAAAGTGAAGCGGAGTGGAGGGACTCAGTGGTGGGGCTGGCCTGGGCTGCTTTAGGTGGGGTGGTGGTCTGGGTGGAGTTGTGTCCCCGCAAAAGATGTGAAAGTGCCAACCCCAGAGCCTATGAGTGTGACCTTCCTAGAGATAAGGTCTTTGCCGATGATCACGTGGAGATGAGGTCACTGGGGTGAGCCCGGATCTCACTGGGTCGTGTCCGCATAAAACGGGAAAGCTGGACACAGACACGTACAGAGGGAAGGGCCACGTGAGATGCCCGAGAGGGGAGAAGGCCGTGTGGACACTGGAGTCGTGCCAACGCCAGCCAAGGAACTTCCAGAGGCTCGGAGAGAGGCCTGGAACAGATCCTGCCCTGGCACCTTCAGAGACGGTGTGGCCCTGCTGACACCTTGATATCGGACCTCGGACCTCCAGGACTTCGAGACAGTGCACTTCTGCTGTTCGGCATCTGTGATGCTTCATCATGGTGGCGTTAGTAATTAAGACAGGTGTTGGGAGCACCGCAGCAGTTTCTTCTAGGACCTTCACCTGACACGGTTGCCCAGCCCCCATGCCACCCTGCACACCTGTCCTGGGGTCCCTGCAGGGAGAGCAGTGCTTCTTACTCTACCCTCCCTTGATCTGCAGAGAGAACCTTTGCTTATGAGACCCAGTGTCCTGTGGGGTTTCTGGCCAACACAGCATAGGCTGCGGCTTCCCACGGATGATCGACTGAGCAACTGGCACTCCCGGAGTCTGTTCTGGAACTGCTATTAAACGAGGCTCTTGGGCAGGTGAATTTTCTAGATGTGAGGATAGGCTCATCTTGTTTCCAGCGTTAGGCTGGCCGTTATTCCCTCAGCAAGGTCCTCTGGAAGCACACGTGTGCACGCGTCCATGGTATCTTGCTCTTTCTTGCCTTGGTGGCTTCCCCGTGCTCTCTTCTCTCCCTCGCCTCTGCCTCTTCAAATCCTACCTTCCCTTCGGAGACAACCCGAGGCCTCCCCAGCGCCCACCGGCCTGACAGTGTAAACAGTTTTCAGCCTCACTCATCTGAATAGTGTAGGAGCCTTCTCTCCCTCTTCTGAAACCCCAAACACTTGAGGCTATATTTCTTAGGGCATTAAATGATCCTACTTTGCAGTTCTGTGTCTTTTGTGAGGCTGTGGGCTTCCCAAGGGCAAGCACAGTGTCTCAAGTCATATCTGTATCCCCCTGGGACTGGCCAGCACAGGTCTTCCCTCACCACAGATGCCTGAGATACCTGCAAGTGAGATGCTCTCGCACACACAGGACCCCAGGAGCTCCATTGACTCTACCCTCTGAAACCTACTCTTGGCCTAACAGGGTGTTTGTTGGTCCAACCCTGGTGGCTTTTTCCCAAGAGCCTGCTTTTCACTTGCTGTGACTGCTGAGAGGATGCAGTGGGTTCCCCAGGTCTCAGGACTGCTCCTGGGCCAGCCTCCTACGCACCCCCCACCACACACACACACACACACACACACACACACACACACACACGGCGTAGCACCGCCTCTCTGTCCCGGTGACCTGGAGCTTTGACGAGGCTCCCAGATGCCCTAAAACCTGCCACGGTGGCCCACCACCCCAGCCCCAGCCCCAGCCCCAGCCTCACGATTCTGGAGAGAAAGGGGATCCGGGACGCCCAGGAGCCAAAGGCTGCGATGCCACCCAGCAGGTAGCCAAAAACTTCGGTGTTGTCCTGCAGGAACAAGTGTCACACTCAGTGCTCCGAGGAGACCGTCTGTACTCCAGACCCGTCCTTTTCTCCCTTTAGGAGGGTCCTCCCAACCAAGGCTAACCCTGCTCACCCCCACCCCCGAGGCATGTGTTGGGACCCGCGGAGGGAAGGGACCTGCACCCCCGCCACGTGCCCCCAGCTAGCCCAGCCTCACCTGCAGCAGGCTTCCCAGCAGCCTCCGCTGTGGCCCATGGACAAGGCCTGAAGCCTTTGGGACAGCAGCCCAGAGAGCCCAGCAGGGGCCCAGGCTCAGTGGCAGCGTCAGGGCAAATACACTGGCCCTGAGCTGCTGCCTCCTCTTCCTCTCCTGGGAGCTGTGACCTGCAAAAGACACCAAAATCCCCTCAGTTCCTGAGGACCTGACAGGCTGGGGAGAACTGGTGTTGGTCCAGCCCTGATGCCGGGACACACACCCATGTTGTTCTCCTGGCCAGATCCTCCCACCCCTTCAAGGTTGTGCCACCTCTGTGAAGGAGTCCTTCCTCCCCATCACCCAACCCCCCCCACACACACACACACACACACACACACACACACACACACAACTGGCACTCTCTCCTTCCTCAGCCCTCTTCCAAAGTTCATGTTCAAGGCAGGATGATGTTTCCCTTATCATGTGCATGTAGCTGACTGCGCAGGGCCGCCTCTCCTGGGCTGGGGCCCTCTGAGGGCAGGCGCCGTGCCCTGGCCGGTCCCACAGTCTCGTCAGAGCCTGGCTCAGAGCAGAACTGGCACAAGCCTGGTGAAGGCATCAATGAGGGAACATGTTTGTGCCGGGACACAAACTGAGAGGGACAAGGAGCGTTGTCCTTCAAAGTCCCCTTGAAATGTAAGACAGACGCTCCCCTGAACAATCCTAAGAACGCTCCCTCTCTGTGCAGCACTGAGCAGCTGAGGGCATCTCACATCACCCACCATGCGTGCGTCTCCCTTTGGACGAGGGTCCAACCGCACTGCCGCCCCTTCTCAGGAATGCGCCTGTCCCACAGCTTGACCACTCATCATGGGCCACACCAGGCAGAGCCTCCCCCGCTCTGCGTGACCCATGCCCCTTCCTGGCATCCATTTCTGGAAGCTGTAGGGCTTCAGTGCCCCCCACCCCCACCGGATATGCATCCTGGGGTGTCACTGTTCATTCCCAAAGCTGGACACCCCCTCTCTGCCCAGCCTTTGCTCACACTGTCTTTTCGCCCTTGCCTGCAGTCCCAGTTCCAGCGTCACTGCCTTCCCTGACACCTGCAGCCCCTTCCCTCCCCCCGGTGCCCATGGTGGGTGTGTGCACACCTCCTCACTGGCAGCTCTAAGGACTGCTTCGGGCCCTGTCTCCCTCCTCTGGCTGGTCATTCGTCTGTGCCTGGCAGGGGTCCAGCTGGGGCGGGGCAAGGCGTAGGCACTCAGTGTGCTGATGAATGAGAGTCTGAATGAAGACAGGAACAGATGGCCACACACTCACCCAAATTAGACTTGAATTTGGAGCCACAGAGTGGGAACAGAATGAACACAAAGTTCATCAAGTCAACAGCCGCTAGGTAGGCACCAGTGAATACCTGGGAGCAAATGGAAAGAGTCTTCATGTTCAGACCTTTTTCAGCAACTGCAGCACCTCTCATCCTGGATCTCCTCTGCCACACATGGTCCACTGACTAGTGCTTCCAGGGACGCCTCCCAGCCCCGAGAAAGGTTGAGATCACCTCCATCTGACAGGTAAGGAGCTGGGTGGATGCTTAAATGATTCATCTCAAGTAATGAAGCCGCCCATCAGCGGAGATGGGCTGGAAACCTAGCCCTCTGCTTCCTATTCCACACTCTCTCCACCACGTGGTGAAATCCCTACTGTGTAACTTCGGCCAAGCCACTGACCTCTGGGCCTCAGTTTCCTCATCTGCAAAACATGGAGAACAACAGTGCCTCCCTCACCACGAGAGCAGATTACGCGAGTCAGTACGTGGGAAGAGACTGGTCCAGCCCCTGGAGCAAAGGACAATGCACCCACCTGGAAATGCACTGGCAACCAGGGCAGTGTGGTCAGTGCTACGAGCATGTGTTTGGAGTTTGACTCCTGGCGCTGCAACTTAGCGAAGTTAGTTAACCTCTCTTTGCATCGGTTTCCACGCGTGTACAACAGGGATAAGAGCACTCATGTCAGAATGATTTGAGGGTCCACTGAGTTAATATACAAAAAGCCCTTAGTGCTAAGTACGCAGTGCAGTATTTAATAAGTGCCAGCTGTTATTACTGGACTGCAGCTGGGCCTCATTACTCTCCATCTCCTGATGGGAATGGGCACCCCAAATGAAAGGTGATCTGTTTCTGAGACAATACTGCTCAAAGCAGGGTCAAGAACTCCCTCAGTCTGTGTCCTGATTACTAAGCTGTCCTCCTTCATGTCCAACTGGGTGGGCAAAAGGTCAGGAGCAGCCCTACGAGGCGGCCCTGCAGGGAAGCCCACAGGTTTTTCTTGGGATAAATGTTTTGGGACAGACCTCTCTTATACAGGTTTGTTGGAGGGCCTAGATGTTGAGAAAAATTAAAATTGCTTCTCATCACCACCTGGGAAAGGATTCAGGCACCCCTGCATGAGCTGGGCCAAGGTCTGGGCTCTAAAAACAAAGCACCAACAATCACTATTTATTGAGCATCTACTATGTGCCAGCTGCTATTTTAAATGATGGGGATACGGTAGTGAATACAAGTTTTTGCTCCTGTGGTGCTGACATGCTAGTAGGAGTTAAACACAATAAGCAATAAACACACTCAGTAGGTAAAGCAGATGGTGTATGGGGAGTAAGCCATGGAAAAAAACAATAAAGCAGGACGAGGGTGTGTGTGGTGGAGAGGAAAGTCAGGGGATGCCTTACTGAGAAGGTGGCTTCTGAGCCGAGACTTGGAGGTGATCAGGGAGCCACGTGGCTGTCCAGACATGAGCATTGGAGGTGGGCAGAAAGACCAACAAGAACACAAGCCAAAGGGGAGGCAAATTGTGCCTCACACGGGGAGGGCACAAGACAGAAGTCATGGTCAGCTGTAAGCCGGACACACCTGGATCGTGAGCTGCCTGGCCAGAATCGCCCCAACCGCGTCACACAGGCTGGTCAGGAGGCAGCATGCAGCACACAGCGCCGACTGGGCCTGTCCGGATCTCTTTGCGCATGTCAGATAGAGAAGCCTGTGGGGACAGGGAGGGGTGTGGACAAAACATGGCAGCTGCAAGTCTGGGCTCCCACACGAGGGTCTGAACAAGACAACTGTGACTGTGTGTCCTTCCGAAGCACCCTCTCCCCCAGGTATTCTGCGGTGTTTTTGAACTTAGTTTATGGGTTGAAAAAGAAAGGATCAGATGGCTCCTTGACCCACCTCTCTTAATGAAGAGGAATTTCTTCCCTCCCACAAATCTGGCCAACTCAAGTTCATGACCACCTTTTTGGTGCTGACAAACTACTAGCTGTGAGGTTTCATTTCATGAAAGGAAACAGGAGGGTTATAAAAGTAAGCCAATCACAGCAGTTTACTACAGAGCAGAATTAATTGCCTGAATATAAAAAGACAACTTGTTTCTCTGAAATTAAAGTGAAATCCTTCTAATCCATCTGTGCCATCTGTGTAACAGCGTGGCCAGGCTTCTGCTGGCCAACATCCAAGCTGATTTCATTCTGGGTACATGTGCTTTACACAGGGAGTTAGCACAACTCCTAGAAGATGCCGTGGAACTCTGGGCTAACCAGACACAACTTGCTGGGTTATTTCCCTTATCGCCTCCACTGCCTGCACCCCACACAAGTTCAGAAAGGCAGAACATGCAGGAAGGGGCCAGAGGTCTCTGTCAGTGTCACTGACTGGATCTCAGAAACACTTTGTTCTAGATGTTTCCCCACTACATTTCTAGGGAGAAACCAAAGCACAATTGTAGCTCTGGTTTCATTTCCTCATTCTTAGGACTCGCAGGGTGGTACTTACTCCACATCCTTAGGACCATTTGGCTGGTTCTGAGCTTCAGGCCTTGGGGATAATGGATGCGGATGGAAGATACTAGGTTCCCAAACATCCCTGACCTGCCAGGGGAAGCCTGAAGCTCCCAGTAGGAGGATCAACCTTTAATTTGGTCCCTGGGCTCCTAGGAGTGAAAGTCTAGGAGTGAAAACTCTAAATTAGAAACTCTGAGTTAGACCCAGATTAGGGATAATTGATCTCAAACCTTCCATTTGAAAGCAGAGGAAACTGAGGCTATGGTGAGAGGGGAGTTAACCGTGGGCCTTCTGGCTTCATGGAGGCTTCGTTCTGTATGGACCCTGCGGCTGCGTAGTCATTTTCCGGCTCTCGGGGGTTAGGGATGCCGGGCTGACTGACCCGAACCCAGCTCACACACAGCTGGGAGGAGACATAATCCCTCGAGATAAATGAAAGTTCAGGGACAGTGAAGTCCTAAAAACAACAGTGGGTCCAGACCTGAGGCAGGTGAGAAAGCTGAAGCTCTGCTCTCAGACGGACTGGCTGGGCATTGCAGAGAATTCCCCACGCTCGCCGAACCTTGGTTTGCAGGTCGGTAAACTGCCTGTCATGCGGACCTGAGGGTGGCCGTGGGGAACACACGAGCTAATGCATGCAAAGCGCCTCTGCAGTTTCCGCTTCTGGTCCGGCTACTTTAATCCTCACGGGCCTGCCCTTTTCCAATAGGATTGCGGGTTTCAGTTCTTTCCATTCACTTGGGCAAGTTCGTTAACCTGCCAGAACCTGGGGCTTCCTGATCTAAATGGGGGTGATTACAGTCCCTACCTCCCGAGGCTGTGGCAGGGATTAAACGAGTTAGTGAATGCACCACGAGTGTCATTTTAGCCCTATTGCTGTCACTGAGCAGCAGGGCTGAGAATCGCTATTGCTATCAAGTGTCTGAGGGGACACCTACTGGGTGCCTAAGGTGTGGCAGTGCCAGTCTCCTGGGGGTGCTGGTCCTTTCCCCTCTGCCAGGGTATACTTGGGTGGCAGGATCCACCCAGCTTGGGACAGGGTGGCTGAAGAACTGGAGGCCACCGTTAGCCAGATTTCACCCAGGTTATGGTGGCGTTTTGACCAAACTGCTTCAGGTGCTGACAGAGCAGGGCAAACTCTGCCGCCAGAGTCAGATCAACCCTTCCCCATTTCCCAGTTAAGAGGGCCTTGGGAAATTGAGGCCAGAAACATCAAGAGACTTGTTCAAGGTCCTCGCCCTCTGCCAAGGGTTGGTGGCAGAGCTGGAGCAATAGTACTGATATTTAATGAGCACTTAACTAAGTGCTTTATCGGTGCTAACTTTTAATCCTCTGTTCAGTACCAAGAGTTATCATCCCCATTTACGTTAGGTTTTATAGCTTGCCCGACGTATGTACACCTCTAGTCCTTGGGGAAAGGGTGACAACAGAACCCAGGACTGGAGGCGTCCAGTCCAGAGCCCTGCCCACTGCACCTCCCAGCCTCCTCCTGTGGCCCAGCCTCCCTGTGCGTATTACCCGGAAAGAAGTAGCCTGACTTCAGTCTACAGCGATCTGTTAGTTTCAGTCCTGGAACTGTGCTACCTCCTGCAATCTCCCTTTCTGCCCCCTCCCCTCTGGGTTTCCAACTGGGACTTGGGGGGTGGGGTGGGGTTGAAGGGTAGCTTCACCCCCCCACCCGGCCCCCCACTGCCCCTGGCAGTTGCCCCGCCCCGCCCTGGCGACGCCAGGTCCCGGTCCCCATTACAGTGCGTGGGCGGCGATCCAGCAGCAGCAGGCGCAGATCCACAGGCCAAAGGAGATGCAGACGCGGTGGTGGGCAAAGCAGCGGTCCAGGTAGTCCCAGTCCCAAAGCGCGGGTGCGGGGCTGGGTGCCTCCTCCATGGCAAGCTCAGCTCTGCGGGTCCAGCGCGGGAGCCCCCCCACCCCCCGCGTGGCCGGGGACCCGTGCGCAGTCCCCCCCCAGGCCGCGGGCAGCCCCGAGCTCTGCCGCCCCTCGCCCCTTCTCTGGGTCAGGTTCCGCTGCAGCGGCCCTCTGGAGCCGCGACCGACTGCGTGCGGGAGAAGGGCACGTCCAGTTCTGCTGCTCCCGGGAGCTGGCGGCGGCGGCCAAGACTCGAGGTTAAAGTTTCCGGGACCGGGCGGCTCCCCACCCCTGGCGCTATTGTCGGGGGTCCGCGGGCCGGAGGCCGCCCCCCAGCGGCGGGAGCCGGGAGCAGCGTCCGCACAAAGGCTGCAGCCCCCACCCCTGAGAGCAATAGCCACGCGGCTCCGCAGCCCCCTTCGCTGCCACCCAGCCCCCCAAACCCTCGGCGTGAGCGGAATGCAGTGAGCTGATGGGTCACTGTAAGGCACTTTGTCTGTTCTTCAAGGCACCACATTTTCTGGGCCGAACAATGCACACTTCGAGCCTGGCGAAGCTCCTGCGTGCTGGGGATCCCGAGGTGAGGTGAGCGGAGCGTAGTCCCGGTGGTTAAAAGGCTGCAACACAAAGGTGTGGGGGGAGGAGACAAATGCGCTGGTGAACAAATCCCTCTCCATCGTCTTTCTTTTGTGAACCCGGGATGGCACCCTCTGCCCCACGCAGTCGCCCAAGCCAGGCTTATTAATGGACAGCTACCCCAGTTGCCTCTTTTTGTCCAGCCACACCGCCACACTTTGAGGCACACAGGGCTGTTTTTCCTGAAAATAAACTGTTGTCATAATGTTTAAATTTCCTGTTGATTTTAGTACATTCTCTTAAAGAAAAACATGCCTGTGTCATTTTTTATTTCTGAAAATAGCAGCTTTATTGAGAATTTCTTCATATATCATAAAATTCACCTTTTCACTTAGTTTTTTTAAAAGATTGTTAAAAATTTATTTTTAGAGAGAAGGAAGAGAGGGAGAAACATCAATTGGTTGCTTCACACACCCTACCGGGCACCTGGCCCATAACCCAGGCCCATGCCCTGACCTGGAACCCAACCCTTGACCCTTCAGTCTCTAGGACGAAGCCCAACTCAACAAACCACACCAGTCAGGGCAAAAGATGTTTTGGTATCACAACCATTTTCAACACTGTTTGGAAGTTGTCCAGAGTTACTCTAACTTTGATCCATGAACCCAGGTTTTACAAGCCGCCAGGACTGTAGAATTGATAGCTGGGAAAGGCTAACAGGACAGTTTGTGGGATGGGGATATTTGAGACTGAGACCTGTTGCCCTGTGGTGCAGTAATGGATGTTTCGGGGACACCAGTACACTAGTGATGCAGGTTAAGTAAGTTTAGCTAGGTTTCTTTACCATACAACTTTTAATGTTCTCCAGTATAACTTGCGACTCTATGACAGGAAGATAAAGTACCTAACACTTTCCAAACTCATGGTGCTGGGTCCAGTGGGCCATGGGTCAGACAACACTGTTGGAGGGTGTACAGTGAGGCAACAACTAGAGAGGAAAGCAAACAAAAAGAGCTACAAGTTCACTTACAAAAACAAATCATTTTCAGATGGTGTGAGTATTTCTCTGTACAATTTGAGAAAACCAATTTAAAAACTGGTCAGCTATAACAATAGTTTTACAGTATATCAGCAAAACCAGTTAAAAATAAAGAAAAATATCATATTTAAATACTATTAAAATATAAAATTTCCAGCAATAAAATTAATAAGTGTATCTGATCTATATGATGAAAACTAAAGCCCTGACCAATGGATCTGTTCATTGGAGCATTGTCCTGTACACCAAAAGGCCAGGGCACATATCCAGGTCTCTGGTTCAGTCCCCAGTCCGCCCGGACTGGGTTGCCGCCCGCACCAACGGGAGGCAACCAACCAATGTCTTCCCCCTCACACCCATGCCTGCCTCCCTCCCTCCCTCTCTTCCTCCCTAAACATATCCTCGAGTGAGGATTAAAAAAATAATGATAAAACAAAACCCAAAAAGTGTTCATTCTTGAAGAAAAAAGAACAAATAAGAAGCATTTTCAAGGTTGCTGTGAAGATGTTAATTTCTCAAATAAAATTCACCCTTTTAAACCATACAATTCAGCAGTTTTTAGTATATCCATGGAGCCGTGTGGACATAGCCAGGATCTAGTTTTAGAACATCTTTCCTCATCTGCCAACAAACCCAGGACCACCAGCGGTTACTGCCCACTCCCTGTGGCGTCCCCAGCCCCGGGCAACCACAGGTCTACCCCTGTCTTTATGGATTTCCCTCTACAGGACGTTCCTTATAAATGGAAGGATCCAATAGGTAAGCTTTTTGTGACTGACTTAGTGTTAATTCTTAAAGTTTCATCTCCGTTGCCGCTGATATCACACTTCATTCCTTTGTATGGCTGAATAGTAATCCATTGCTTGGGGGTAGCACATTTTATTTGTCCATTTATCAGTTGATGGACGTTCAGGTGTTCTCACATCTTGGTTATAATGAATAATGCTGCTGTGAACATTCACGTACGAGTTTTTGTGTGGACAAAGGTTTTGCATTCTCTTGGGCACATTCCTGGGAGAGGAATTGCTGGGTCCCATGGTAACCCTGTGTAAGGTTCTGAGGAACTGCGGGACTGTTTTCTAAAGTGGCTACATTATTTTACCGGCTTACCCATTTTTAAAAGTTATGACCACTCACAAGAGAAATGAAACACTGTATGTCCGGCGTTGTGCTGTGCGCTGGGGACACTTTGTTGAGAAAGACAGACGAGGTCCCTACCTTTGTGGACCTTCCAGTGAGTTCAGTGGAGGAAGGAGACATTAAACAAGCAATCAACCAAATAAAGGTAAAATACCTTATTAAACAAAAGGGCCCAAAATTAAAATGATAAAAGGATTACAATTAAGTGATATAAAATGAATGCCAACTAAGACAAGATTAAAGAGTTAAAAGGAAAAAATATATGTAAAAGCCACGTTTCCCATAGTCTGCCAACAACCAATACGCACAGTCCAAAATCCCCACCTGCTGGGTTCACGCTCTGCCTCCCAGCAGCTGTGACTCGGCGCCAAAGCTCTGGTCCTCTCTGCACCTGGCTGTCCTCGCCTGTACGTGAGGGTGACAGCACCCACCTTGGAGTTACTGTGGTTACAAGAAACCCTGCGGACAGAGCCCCTGGCACACGTCAGGAGGACAGCTTATTATTGTTATTGTCTTCCCCAGGAAGAGCCTTAGAGCCACTAAAACGGAAAGTGGTTCAAGATAATGTGAAGAGAAAGATCAGCTAATGGTGGAGACAGAGGGCCCAGTTCTTGGTTCTATTCTCTTCTCTCCCAGATGCCGGAAGCATCTGGTCTTCTGGCTTTAAATACGGTCCCTGCCCCTGTGCCCCCCAAGTGAGTGTCTCCAGGTCAGACCGCCCCCGCCCCCAAACTTTTAGACTCACAAGTGCAGCTGCCTACTTGACATTTCCTCTCACACGTCTGATGGAACACGTCTAAAACCGAACTTGTAATTTCTCCTTCCCAAGGCTACTCGGCTGACAGCCGTCCCTCTGCAGGCTGACTGGGTGTCCCGGTCCCGTTGGGGCACAAGTGCCTGTGTCCGCACTCCTCCTCTGCTGGGACACCTCTCCCGGCAGGGCAAGCAGTGCCCTTCGACCAGGCTGTGAGCACCCTGCAGCCAGGGCTGTTCAGTTCACACCGTATCCCCAGCTCCTCGCTCAGTGCATGATCCTTAGTAGGATAATATTTACTGAACAAATAGTTTGAAACAGTTCATATTAATCTGTCATGTACTGTAGTAGGAGCATGTTTACACTGCTTTGGTGACACCTAATGTTGTGTGTGTGGGCATGTTGGGGAAGGCTTTTGAGAAATTCAGGAACTGGGCTTTGAAGAGTGTGGCCTGTGGCCACCGGCAAGCAGCAGAGGGTAGGAGATGAAGTGAGAGAGGCCTTCAGCAGCCAGGCGTGAGGCTGCAGGGAACACTTAGGATTAGGTATTCTGACCAACACCCTCCCTGCCAGTCGGACCCCTCCCAGTACGTCCCAGAGGGCTCTCCGCAGGGTTGGTCCTCAGGAAGTAAATCAGTTCCGTTTCCAGGCTCTCCCGAGGTCTGGCAGCTGCCTCGCCCACAAGCTAATGTTTTTTGGCCAAGGTCCCCAGTTTGCCGAAAAGAAAAACTAACAAGTGGATCATAACACATGTTCTCCCCGCAAGGAGGCATTTCCTGTTGGCAGAGGCACTGCTCCCAAGGGCATTGTCCTGAAGGGTGGGCTGCAGCCAGTCCCTCGAGTGGGCAGCCAGTCGTGGCCGTGAATCCCAGCTACCTCGGGAGACGGGCCAGCAGCTCAACAAGCTTTCTCTTTTGAGGACGTTGCCTCCTGCCAATGTTCATGAAGCGTATTCTGTAGAGGAAGGGCTCATGGCTGCTCCTCACAAAATGACATTAAAAAAACTCCCATCAGTTTGATTTAGCTGCTGTAAATGTAGAGAAATCAATTCTAAGAGAATGCATTTTGAAATAATGGCATTTTCAAATCTTAGTCCTATTGTAGACATGCTGCAGTGTGGTGATTAAAGCAGGTGTAGGACTACTGGGTCCTGGGATCTATTTAAAAATCTGTCATCTGGCCCTGGCTGGTGTGGCTCAGTTGGAGCATTGTCCAGTAACTGAAGGGTGTGGGTTCAGTCCCAGGTCTTCTGGGTGAATGGAGGGGGGCAGTTGATCAATGGTTCTCTCTCCCCCTTCCTCTCTCCCTAAAAGCAATGAGAAAAAAAATTGTCCTTGGATTTGGATGAGGGTAAAAAAAAAAAAATTAAAGCTCCATCGTCAATACAGTTCATGATCTTGTGAGGTGTTTTTTTTAACTTATTTTCTCTCAAGTTCTTCATTAATAACATCTGATTACTGAAAGTCACTTGCTTCATGAGGCTCAGAAGTGAGGCAGGAACGAGAAACTAACAGATGTAACAAGGAAAGCCCTGCCTTTTTAAAGAGGTAAATCTCAATGAATACTGGCAAACAGCAAGGCAATTCACTTTTAAAGAGCCAACTAAGTAGAATGCAGTTCTTGAATATTTGCATTGAAATAATTACTAACGAGAAATGTAACTTCCCATTACAATTCAGAAAGAAATCAGCGTCCTACAAAGTTCCTACAGGCCAGTTTGAGAGCTGGATAATCCCGCTCCCCACAAGCCAGCGAAGGCGGAGGAAAGACAGAAGCCATGTTTCTGTTCCCTGTGGTCACAATTTGGTTCTGGTCTCCCAGTACAATTCTGGCTTGTCTGAATGACTCTGAGCCCTTGTGATAATATTTAATTCTCTTCTCTTACGACCTCACAGTCCCCAATTTTTTTATTTTGAAAAGTTCCAAAACCACAAAAAAGGTGAAATTGAAACTCACCAACTGAACACACAAGACAAACAGTGGAGATTATTCAGGGGGGAAATTTTGAATTTCCTCCCTCCCCACAGACTGACGAAGGGCAAGGCTGTGGGAACAGGGGACAGTAAGCAGACTTCTGGCTTGCTGCTGAGTTTTCCATGTTGCCCATCAAGAAAACATGTTGCTATTGGCTTCTTGTCAAAACTTCAACTTCCGTCTAATTTCCCAAGATGTAAACAGATGACAGCTATATAGCAGGTTATACTTTAAATGGGTGGTATATTTCTTGTAATAAAAGTGCTCAGGGAAAATGTCAGAACAATAGAGCAGTAATTGCAATTTGTAAGTCTAGATAAAGTACTATGCTGAACAAGGTTGGGAATACTTTAAAATAAACACACA